GGGGGGGGGGGGGGGGGGGGGGGGGAGGGGGGGGGAAAAGGGAGATGGGGAGGGAAATGGGAGGCGGGGAGGAGGCGGAATTTTTTTTTCAATAAAAAATTATATTTAAAAAAATAATAATTACAATGAGGTCTACTCAGTAGGCAAGAGACAAAAAAATATCCATAGTAGATTTACCTACTGTCTCAGCCACCCCAGAGCCAGGAATAAGGTAGGGAACCACCACATTCGACTGTTAAATACTCAAAACAAAACAGAACACTCAGGGCTGAAGAGGGCTTCAGCGGCTAAGAGCATTGGTTGCTCTTGTGTAGGCCCCCGTTTTGTACCCAGCAGCCACGAACCTCCAATTCCAGGGGATTTCTGACTTCTGTGGGGACCAGGCATTCAGAGCGTATACACAGACATACAGACAAGACTCTCACATATATAAAGTAAAAATAAATATATCTTTAAAAAAACCCCAACAAGACTCAGGATGTGGCTCAGTAGCACATGCTTTTAGCAAGCAAGAGGTCCTGGGGTACACCCTTATCACCAATTAACCAAAACAGCAGAAACAGCCAGAACAGTGGCACCTGCAGGTTGAGTCAGAAGTTACAAGATATAAAAGGCACGGTAATGGGGTTGCCCGCTGTGTGTAGCCCCTTCCTAGACGGGAGTCCTGAGCTGTATCAGTGGGAATCAAGCTGACCGCATATACTCAAGTGAAGCTGTACAGGCATTGCTCTCTGCTCCTGTGGATGTGACAGGACCAGCGTTTGAAGTCCCTGCCTTGACTTCTCCATAGTGGCAGAACCTGAAATTTTGAAATAAACCCTTTCTCCTCTAAACTGCTTTCTATCAGGCTGTTCTGTCACAGCAAGGGGATGAAATGAAAACATGCAGTGAGACCAGAACCCTCCACATAGGGAGCTTTGCCACCTCCTCATTCCTGCCACTGACCACAGGCTCAGGATCGTCGTGTCTCCGTCCACCACCTCTCACCTCTGTGGTCAATGTCATCAGTGTCACTCTCGGCTTCCTCGTCCTCTTCATCCAAGGTTCCTCGCGTCAGGATCAAGTCAGAAGGGTCCAGTGCAGGAGACAGGCTGTCTAGGGTTAAAACACTGATCAGTACAGACGTGCCTTATTCGTTGGCAGCGTGAAGTGCTCTTGACAACAGAAACGAAGGAGAGTGAGTCTTCTAAACGTATCAGCAACTTCACTTGTCATCTCTACGACTTCTACAATGGTTCCACCGAGGAAAACCTAAGAATTGTATCCCTGAAACACCAGTACTCTGCCTCACGAGCTTACAGACTGGAAGAAGCTGGTTTTTTCAATGAGAGATAAAGAAACATAAGGCTGCAACCTGGCAATAGTTCAAATAATGCAGACGCTTCTAGGGAGGATGCAGGTCAGGGGGGGATTAGAGGAAAAGGTTGAAATGATACGGAATAGAGCAGCTGTGGCAACTTTCAAGCAATGGAGGGGGTAAAAAAAAAAAAGGAAATCAAATATACTACTAGGCAGTGATGGTGCACGCCTTTAATCCCATCACTCAGATCTCTGTGAGTTCGAGGCCTGCCTGGGCTACAAGAGCTAGTTCTAGGACAAGCTCCAAAGCTACAGAGAAACCCTGTCTTGAAAAACAAAACAAAACAAAAAATACTACTAGAGGCAAAATTCCCTACTCAGTGAGTAAGGACTAAGCCCTAAGAATGAGAAGTAAGTCTGATCCCGAAACTGAGTGGGACCTAAACCTACAGGAGGGTGTGACCACAAGTGACTGTCAGGCTGAGGAGTTCAGCTGGGGAGGGGATGGGCTGAAGGCAGTAAAGGGAGGGAAACCTTTATTTAGTGGTCAAATAAAGAATGGTGGTGAATATCTTTAATCCCAGCACTTGGGAAGCAGAGGCAGGCAGTCTCTGTGAGTTCAAGGGCAGCCCTATCTACAGAACAAAGTTGTAGGACAGCCAGAGCTGTACAGTGAGACCATGGCTCAGGAGAGAAAACGAAAAACTCGGGCTTATGATCTACACAGCAATGACTGTGAATGCCTCCTTCCACACCCAACTAAGAATTACTCAGATATCTGAGGAATTTTCCCCAAATCATCCATGGAAATTACCCTTCCCTTCCCATCTGGATGCCGCAGCAGGAGAATGAACACCTGTGACTCTGGAGGACCTCGGTGCGCACTCACACACAGACGGGGAAAGCGTCAGGAAGGGCACGGAAGCATCTGTGTCGCTGGCTGTGCAGCCAGGTTCCCTGTGCTGTGCTCTGATGAACACAAGGGAACAAAGGTCACAAACAGAAGCTTTTCCTCTTAATAAGGAACCCCAAGGAAAAACTGTTGCTATATATGAAGAAAAAAACTAAACTATATAATTTTTTGCCACAATAAATACACCAAGAAGAACTTATATATTAAAAAATAAAGTCCATCTATTTGGTTTCTGGGTCCCACAACAAATTTCCACTCTGCTTTTTGTGGGCAGTCCATCGTCTTGCCTCTCAAGGAGGTGGGATATATATATTTTAGACTTATTACTTTTATGTGTATGAGTGTTTTCCCTAAATGTATGTTTATGAACCAAGGTCAAAACAGAGTGTTGATCACCTGGAACTGGAGTAGGTGCTCATGAGCCATCATGTGGGTGGGAATTACACTCCAGTTCTCTGCAAGAGCTGCACTTAACTGCCGAGCCATTGCTGCAGCCTTCTGGGGTGTATATCACTTAATATGAGCACATCCTAGACATTCCCTCTGAGGGCCAATGACAGAAATAACAGAAAGAAGGAAGGAAAGGAAGCAAAGAAAGGAGGGAAGGACAAAGACTAAGGTAGCAGGATAAAAGACTGAAATACAGAACACAATACAAAAACCCATGCCCGTTTAAAACAGTAACTCTTAATAAAGAAAATAAAATCCACTGCATAATGCAGCAAGAAATATGCAAAATATACTCAGGATAACATTCCAGAAAGACACAAGACCTGCCAAATACAAAAATTCTTCCTGCTCAAGGAGGAAGAGGCAACATCAGTCAAGTCGGTTCTTCCTGAACTATTTAAGTAGCACAAGCTAACCTCAACACAAATGCCAAAGCTTTCTGGGAAGCCAGAGAAGCTGATGAGGAAATGCATGTGCTAACAGCCAGGGAGAGGAAAGAGTACAAGGGAGACCAGTCTGAGCAGACACTGAAGCATTTTGTAGTTATAATATGTACAGGTATGTAGGTAAAGAAATCAGTGTAATAAACAGGAGTTCAGAGCCAGCTAGACTGCTCAGTGGATAAGGGCTCTCGATCCCAAACCTGACGAGCACAGTCCACTCCGAAGGGAATGGCTACACCTAAGTAAGACCAAGTATTAGACAACAGTGTGTCCATGCTAATCTCCTCATTTTTCCTCACTGTACTGAGCTGTTCTTTGCTTTGTTTTGTTTGGTTTGGTTTTTGGAGACAGGGTTTCTCTGTGTAACCCTGGCTGTCCTGGAACTCACTGCCAAGACCAGGCTGACCTTGTCACAGAGATCCGCCGCCTCTGCCTGCAGAGTGCTGGGATTAAAGGTGTACACCACCACGCCTGGCTGGCTGTACTGAGGTTTTTAAAAATAATATCTTTACTTTTAGGAAGTATACACAGAGGATCAAAAGTAAAAGAGTACCATGTTTGCATGAGCTTTAATAATATCTGAAATTTAGTTATAACACACTATACAAGTACAAGTACAAGTACAAGTACAAGTACAAGTACAAGTACAAGTACAAGACTTTCAGAGGAAACTCAGAGCAGTGTAAAGTGTGCACCATCACCAGTACTCTCGGTCCCGGATCACTGATGCAGATGCGTGTATGTATGTCTCCCCATTGCCTGTCCTTTCTCCTCGTTTACACAGACATCGCTGCTGTGTGGATCCACCCTCTGTTCTCTCCGAACACCAAGAGCCCTTCAATACCTTTGCCGGCGCCTGTGTCCAGGGCTATGGAGCCCATATCCTTCCGAAGACGCTCCAGCTGCTCCTTCTGCTGATCACTCTGGGCACTCGCCTACAGACAGGGGAAATGTCCTCATGTTACATACATTAGGAGATCCCAGACTGATGAGATGGCTCAGAGGTGCAGGGGTTGCTGCGGCCGTGTTGAACAATTCCATCTGTAGACCCCACGTGACAGGAGAGAACTGAGACCTGCAAGCTGCCCTCTGACCTCCACAAGTAATACTTTTTAAGATTTCTAGGGCAGGGCTTATGACTGAGAAGCCGAGTGCTCAGCATATGTGAAGCCCTGGTTTCAATTTCCAGCACAAAGAAATAAAATAAAGCAAGATAATAAAGATGTATAAATTAAGATGCCAGGTTTTTTTAAAGTAGGGTTTCATGTAGTGTAGGTCACCCCCAAACTCACTATGTAGCCATGGATCCTGGATGACCCTAAACTTAGCAGGGTCTACCACCATGCTTAGTACTGAGAATACTGTACACATAATAAATTTTTAAAAAATCCTTTAAAAAAAAAAGAACAAGCTAAGCTAAGTGCATGCTGAACAAATATTCAACCAACTGAGCTAAGTCCCCAGTCCCCAAGCACCACCCTTTTAAGAGGAGATTAGGAATTATAAAAGTACTAGAAGCTGGTAAAGGATAACAGATATGGAGACAGAGCCATAAGGGCCCAAGAGACAGCGATTTCTAGTTATATGCTGAAGGAAGTAATTCAGAGCATATACCCAGAACCATGACCAGAGAACCCTCAAGTGGCGCTTGGCAATAAGACCTATGATAAAGGACCCAATGCAGGCTCTGTCAAAGGGAGAGCCTCAGCTCAGCATCTGGAACAAGAGCTTGAGACATCTCTCTATTCTTCAAAATCCTACAACAAGCCTCAGAGACTGGATGAGGTGGGGCATAAAAAGTTCTTGGTAAATATATTTCAACAAAATTCTGATATTTTAAAAATTCAGATACAAAGCCTGTGTGGTAGCTCATACCTGTAATCCCAGCACTCAGAAGGATGAGGTGGTAAAACAAAACAAAACAAAAAGGATAAATATTCAAATACAAAGAGAAGAAAAATTGTTTGGAGGTCTTTCTGCAAATACACTGGTTTATGAATTTAAATAAACAAGTACTTGAGGTGGGATGTCTCAAGCCTGCAGTCCTACCTGCTCAGGTGGCTGAGGTAAGAGATCACTAAAGCCCTAAAGTTTCAGGCCTGCCTGGGGTACAGTGAGACCTCAACTCAAAACCAAACAGGGCTGGGCACATAGTTCAGAGAGTAGAGCACTACCAAAAACAAAGAAACAAAAAAAATGCAAGAATTTAAAAGAAACACAGAGGGCTAGAGAGATGGCTCAGAGGTTAGGAGCACTGGCTGCTCTTCCTGAGCTCAATTCCCAGCAACCACATGGTGGCTCACAACCATCTGTAAGGAGATCTGGTGCCTTCTTCCGGCATGGAGGTGAACAGGCAGGGGAACACTGAACATATAATCAGTAAATAAATCTTTTAAAATAAATAAATAAAAAATAAAAGAAACACAGAAGTCCCAACAGTTACTTATATCTCAATAAAGCCAGAAAAAAATTAAAATAACAAGCGAGGCAGTGGTGGCACAAGCCTTTAGTCCCAGCAGTTGGGAGGCAGAGGCAGGCAGATCTGTGAGTTCAAGGCCAGCCTGATCTACAGTGAGTTCCAGGACAGCCAGAGCGATACAGAGAAACCCAATCTTGATAACCCTTTCCTTCTCATCCCTGCTACCTGAGTGCTAACTACAGCACAGGCCAGCATACCAGCTGGTCCCCAACTCCTCCGCTCAAGAGTCCCCTACCCATCTCTGGTGACTTGCTGGGACTCCTGGCCTGTGCCATGTGTGGGTTAGACAGACTCTGACAGCTCTAACACAATGCCCGTCTTACCAGTGATTTCTTCAGGCGCTCATATTCAGGCCGATATTCCCTGGAGAAAGAAATGTCTTCTCAGTTCCTCTCCTGAGAGACCCACACTGCCCACCTCGACCTATCACTTCTGTCTGCTTTACGGCTGCTGCTCGGGAAGGCCAATGTCAAAGAAGTGATGGGTCTTAGGTCAACAAAATACACTCCTGAGCCTGGGAAACACACGCAAAACCCTTGAGGCTCATCAGTGGGAAAATAATGTTGCCTGGCAACCACAATGTCACGAAGCCAAAGCAGTATGCTAACAGGCAGTCTATGAGTCATGGTCCCAGGGTCCCAGGTGCTCCTATAGGTGAATGGGTCCCACTTTACACCGACAGCTCTTGTAGGACCGTGAAGAATAGAGAGGTGTCTCACAGCTTGTTCCAGCAATGACAACAGCTTAACAGACATTCATGAATGGTCTCTATGATGGGGAAATCACTGTGCTACAACTTCGCATATACGTCTCCTCGATGTCAAATCCACACCACAGCTTCTACAGCTGATGTCTTAAAGGGACAGAACTATCACCTCCTGTTTCTTAACTTTCTACAGGTCTTTTGTCCTACAATAACAGACCTGAGAAGTTGCCCTCAAAGCTACCAAGTGGCTCTTTTCAGAACAGGCTTGACGGCCCCTGCCTGGCAACCACCGAGACCAGTGAACACTTTATATTTCTATCTTTTTAAAGACGGGAACAGACCCTGGTTACTCCTGAGTGTGGACAGGTCTAATATACATATGCAAGTAAATATGCTTTACACAGAAGAGGGAAATGCTGCTCCTGGCATTTGAGAATGGGGAACACATCAAGAGCCCCCCCTTCCTCACCTTTCGTACTCTTCTGCAGCACCGGTGACTTGAACACAGAGCTCATCGAAGCCGGTGCCCGCCACAGCAGAGACACCCACCACCTGCCAAGAAGTAGCATGAATTTGCGTGCTAGACAAGGGCTCTGCTACTGAGCTGCTCCCAGCCCATGAACAATACAGCACTACCAAGAACAAAATTACATACTTTATAGAATGTAAAGCTGGTTCAAAGCCAGTGAAGGCTTCGGTAAGATATCATCTGCAGCTACTGCCACTAGGATAGGAGGTAAAATTTACCCTGAGCGAGCTGTAAAACTCATCTAACACCAGGCTCATGGAGCGAGTCAGGTTGCTGACGTAGGTAGTCTCTTGGTTCAAGGCATCTTGGAAAGTCTCAAAATCCTGCATCCACTCCACTGCAAAGCTGTGGTCAATGATGTCGGTCTGTGCCAGAGAGAAGGCAGTCATCAGCCCAACTAAACCACCGCAAAGTCATTTAAGTAGGTGGTTGACAGCAAAGGACTCATCACCCACAGATGCTCTTTCTCTGGCGCCCATTCCCAGCTCCACTGCAACACACCATAAAGCAATCTGCCTAGCCTCTGATCAGTATTTCCAGAAGACTGTTCCTCAACTGACAAAGAACCCCCAATGCTGAGGGACGGCTGACACACTCTGTCTGCCCTGCAGTCTCTGGGGGAGAGGCAGCACTAAATACACACTCCCTCTGGCGGCATCTACTTCCCTGATGTGCCTGACTCTCCGCAGTAAAATCTCAATGTGCTGACAGCACTGAGGTTACTTTTCACACCTACCCAGACCTGCTAGCTCAGTCAAGACTCTGTTAAAGACTGTGAAATCCGGGAGCTGGAGAGATGGCTCAGTGATTAAGAGCATTGCCTGCTCTTCCAAAGGTCCTGAGTTCAATTCCCGGCAACCACATGGTGGCTCACAAACCATCTGTAATGAGGTCTGGTGCCCTCTTCTGGTGTGCAGAAATACACACAGACAGAATATTGTATACATAATAAATAATTAAATAAATAAATAAATAAATATTAAAAAAAAAAAAGACTATG